AAGCCACGAGACACGACTGCGCGGAGTCTCAGAGCACCGCGCTACCCAAGGAGAGTCAAACTAACTTCCCTCTGCTCCACTCGGCATCCGAGCCCGACCCGCGAGGCAGGCCTAAGAGAAACACGACCAAGTGCTGGGAGAGTACAGCCAGACACAACACGCTTTCTGCTAGTGGCCAGAAGGAAGCCAAGAAGGATGTGCACAAGGCCGGAAACTCAACTCTAGGGCCCAAGCAACGAGGAAGCAGTGGGACGCATTTGCTCCTGCAGGGGAAAGCATTTTCTCCCGAGAACCCGTTACCCATGCATCCCTGTTGTACAGGGTTCACTGTGGCCCAAGCACTCCTGATTACAAGCCCCTAAACCACCACAAAACCAGGATGAAAGCTTGGAGAGAGCCCTCATGCCTAGCAGCTCCTACCAACTGGAGGAAACCGCTTCCTTTAGGAAAGGAAAATGCATCTTCCTTTTCTTCTTCTGTTTTTCCACCGCATGACCCCTTCCTTCAACAGCTAATGTAAATGCCAGCTCAGCCAGGCCCCAATCCAAAGTTTATTAACGTCAGTGGAAAGTCTCCTGCTGGCTGCAGAGCAGCTTTGGGCCACACACCAGAACCAGTGGTATCGTCACAGAAGCAATGCTGCTGCAGATCCTCTAACATCCAAAGCAGGTCAGGGCTCTGCAGTGCCAACCTCCACGCAGACAGGCTCTCCTCGCTCCGAATAACTAACGGCTTGTATGGAAACAGGGACGCAAAACACAGCTTGAGCCTCACCATGCTCTGTGACCTGCTCACCTTCTGCCTATGTTCTCTTGCTGTAATTTGGATTCATGCTGTCCTTGCTACACCAGAGAAAAGCCAAACCTGAGATAACTGGAATAGGCAATGCAGTAAAGTCAAATATGGCACAATGCACCCATGCAGCAGGGCCAATAAGGATGCCAGATGTCCTCAGTCTTGCCTTTGTGAGAGGTCCATCTAGGTCTTGTGCTTAGTCAAGACTTGTAGACAGTGCAGACAGCAAGTGAGCACAGCCAGAGCTACAGTGTGAAGACTCAAAAACAGATCAGAGTGTGAAAGAAGGCCACGTAAAAGATTTAGCAGAAAATCTCTCCAGCAAGATAGGGTCACAATCCCCCACTCCCTTGCTGGAAAGGTGTTGCGAGTGACCAGCGGGGCTCCCCAGACTGTCTAGGCGCTGCAGTGTCAGCTGGAGCTGTTTTCTCAATAAACTGGACAGTGAAAAACAGGCCGAGATGCTTTAGCCATTGGTAATTGGCACGAAAACTCAGACTGCACTTGAGTCTCTGGTTTCCTTTGCTCAATAAGAGCCTCTTTCCTCTGAACTATGAAGTGGGGGGAGGGGGGGGAGGGAAAGAAAAAAAAAGGAATGAATGTCTGGCTGTCAGACCCAACTCCGATTTGCTGGACTTAGCATTAAATGCTGAGTCTTGAGACTGTAGTTGAGATCCAGGAATGTTAAAAATCAGCAACTCCTCCCTCTCTGCCACTCAGCAGCCTTCTAGCAAGAGAAATTACAATAATGAACTGATAAAAGCAACAGAATACACAACCCCAGCTTCATGCTCACAGGTTATCCTGTTAGTTGCTCTGAGGCAGAGATGAAAGAAGAAAAACCAGAGCACACAGAGCACTGGGAAGGTTTGAATCCACCCCCTGTGCAGCCAGCCAACTGCCAGCCAGTTTGGCAGCACAGTGTCCCTAGGCACGGGGCAGCACTAGCAACAGAGCTTGAGCCTGGGCTCCTGTCGTGTTCCCGAAGTCTCTAGCATTGCCAGCCTCAAAGGGCTGAGTCTGGATCCCCTCCTTACTACCCTGAAAACCCCAAGTTTAGAACCAAGAGTTACAATTTCTGGCGTTATTTTCAACAAAAAACATTTTAAACCATCCACACTTTTCACTGGACTCCTGAGCTGAGAAGTTGAAGAACACCAAAAACCACAGCTGTCAATGAATCCGTCCACATTCCTTGGTGAGAGCAGGCCTGCCAGAAGCCAGCAGGGCTTTCTCCCCAGCACCATGTTTACGCAGCACAGCAGCACGCACGGTCTGCTCCACCCGCAGCCATCCACCTCTCTGGCTCAATTCCCTGTGCCACTTCAGCTTTGGAGGTGGGCCAGTTCGGAGGCAGTCAGCTAGAGTTATCTAAGAAGATAACCTACTTACCTGAGCCTGCAAACTTGACCTTCGTCTTTCCGTAAACCTTGACGCAAGTAAAGCTCAGCCCCAAGCGACAAGACAGGCAACCTGCACTTTGAACACAGCCACACTCAGACATTCCTGCCATGCTTGCCCAGCTCCTGCTTTCCGAGCCCACACAGCCTCCCGAGCCAGCCCAGTGCCAAGGCAATCTGCATTCCAGTCATGCTCTGAAAGCATGCAGAGGGCCACAGTACTAGCTACAGAATCCAGTTCCATCCATTTCCTATGGCACAGCTTCAATTTCCCTGATGCGGGCAGTAAATCTGCCCTGCTCAATCTGGCAGGAGCCCTGCTTGAGCAGTGCCTCTCAGAGGTCTATTTTGTTATCTGTTGTGATTCCGGAGAGGCTCTGTGCTCTCTGCCGTAACACACTCCAGATCCGAAGTCCTGGATGTCAGCACAGGGCTTCTCCAGGCTACCAGTGGTTCCCAAGCAGTTCATACGTATGAAGATGCACAGCTGACTGTGAAGATAAAAAGGGTTGGAGTGAAGAAGCCTGTCTGAAAGTACAACAGAAACCTGGACTTCTATCCTGTACCAGCTGCTCCCAAAGTGAAAAGAATCACTGCCTCCTGTGACATTCCCAAGTCAATGCCACTGGATCCAGTGTTTTCACACTGCTATGCTGCTAGCAAGTACCTGTCTTTGGATTTTTTCTTTTTTTTTTCTTTTGTTTCCAGTCTCTAACGTCTACTGCCCCTTCCACAGACAACACAACAAGACACTGCAGAAAACCTACAACCGTGTCAGGATTTGCCTGAAAAATCTCCACGTAAAATGCTTCTCTTCCCTTGATCCTCCCAGATGGCACTCCCAGCCACAGGCAGGGATTGTTTTCAGGGAGGCTGAGGTTCCCTCGCAGGAACACAGCACAGAGTGTGCCTTTACTTTTGACAATCAGCTCTGGGACCAGTCAAACAGAAGCAGAAGAACATTCACATCTAAGCAGCGAGAAAGCTCAAAGCACCTGCTTGTCTGGAGCCACTAGCCTTGAGGCTATGAGAGAGCCTTGAAGTATGAGAGAGAAGCAACAACTGGAAGCAACAGGCTCCATTGCAGTTCTGGCTATTGCTGGGGGAAAGGAAGCCAGAAAGAGAGGAACTCCCTTGTGATGAGTTGGTTCTGGCTCCTCGCATCGGCAGCATGAGCTGGAACATGGGAGACTCCCATGTAATGAATCTTCTCCGGTTGCCAATGGTGAACAAAGGAGCTTGGAATGAGTGACCTCCCTGTGCAATGAGGTAACCCCACCTCCTAATGAGGAAGGGCAGGAGATGCCTTCTAGAATGAGCAAGAACCTGCCAGGAGGATATAATAAAACAGGGCATTTCCCTGCCAGAACAACAGAACATAGAGGAGCTCTCATTACATCATTAAAGCAGGGCACACTGCCAAATTGCCCACAGCCCTTCCATAAACCAGGCCCTACCTTGCAGGCCATCCCAGAAACATGCCTTCTCTGAGAGCGCTGGCTCCATCCTGTTCCTTTCCGCCCATCCCTGTCTGCATATCTGTCAGGGCACAGTACCTGCAGTGAAAATCTGGGCAGCTACTGCCAAGAAGGCGTCCGTCACCACCGTCTCCGAGTGCAGCGAGATGTTCAATTGGCGGGCGATGTTCCGGTAGACGTTGGGGCGAATGTATTCCAGCTCATCCCCTGGAAGCAAACAGTCAGGAGTCAGCACGCAGAGCACCAAGTCCTGCTCTCACCATGTAGGAATTACAGCTGGGGCCACCCCATGTATCCCTCCAGCCAAAGAGGCTGAACCCTGGCTCCACTGGATTTTAAACAGGCAGCAGAGTGCGTCGGGTCACTTAGATGCATCTTCCTGCCACCTGCGCCCTGCTTTCCTAATATTCCCTGTGCCTGGGCCTCCTAAAGGAGCGGGGACAGGCAGTGGCCCTGTACCAGTGCTGTGGCTGCAGTAATCTCCGACAGAAATGATGTTCCCAGGCTGGCTGCCTGCCTTTCCTCCAACACAGGAGACAGGCCTCAGATAAGCAAAGCCACCTCATTTTTCTTCAGAAGCGAAAAAGGAGGCATGTACATCTACATAAGCTTTTGAGAGATCCGCCCTTTCCCAACACCCCATCAAACTTGTACGAAAAAAGCCTCAAGACGAGAGCGACTCAAGAATGCTGGAGGCTGATGAAAGCCAAGGACCCACCCAGAGCTGCACGACGTTAATTGAGCAAAGAGACTATCAGCTCAGCCATTTCATGCTCACGCAGGCTCTGAGCAATGATCTGGAGTCCTTTGCCTCCTCCAAACAGTTAAAGAGATGTTCATTTGCCTGGCTGACTCCTCAGCACCAAGGGTCCTGACACACACACACACACAGACATGTGCTTTCACTTCCAGGTTGTTTTCTCCCCAGCTGGGAAATGGTTGGAGGTGTTAGGCCAGCTTGAAGACCGAGACGGAAATACCAAGGACAAGCAGAGAACCTCCTCCCACATATCTGAGCTATGGAGCTTGGGCAAGAGCCGTAAAGCTTTTCCTCCGCAGCAGAACAAACAATTTTTGAGCAGCAGAAATATTAAAGCCCAGTTTCCAACAGATTTCTCTCTCTATAGGGGTTCACGGATCATAGAATCACAGAATGGTTTGAGTTGGAAGAGACCTCAAAGATCATCCAGTTCCAACCCCCCTGCCATGGGCAGGGACACCCTCCACTACACCAGGTTGCCCAAAGCCCCATCCAACCTGGCCTTGAACACTTCCAGGGATGGGGCAGCCACAGCTTCTCTGGGCAACCTGTCCCAGTGCCTCACCACCCTCAGAGTGAAAAATTTCTTCCTTATATCCAATCTAAACCTCCCCTCTTTCAGTTTAAAGCCATTGCCCCGTGTCTTGTCACTACACGCCCTTGTAAAACATCCCTCTCCAGCTTTCCTGTAGCCCCTTTAGGTACTGGAAGGTGCTGGAAGGTGTCCCCGGAGCCTTCTCTTCTCCAGGCTGAACAGCCCCAACTCTCTCAGCCTGTCTCCATAGCAGAGGGGCTCCAGCCCTTGGATCATCTTTGTGGCCTCCTCTGGACCTGCTCCAACAGCTCCATGTCCTTCTTGTGTTGGGGACTCCAGAGCTGAATGCAGTATTCCAGGTGGGGTGTCACGAGAGCAGAGTAGAGGGGCAGAATCACCTCCCTCAACTTGCTGTATATTTAACGAGGGTTGCACAGTTGCAATTAATTAATGAGGTTGCATTACACAATGCAAACATCGCATGGGACCAAGGCCCTTTGTGCATGGAGGGTCCTATTTGGTTTAGATTTAGAAGGATGCTCTGTGTCCTTCTCCTGCACAAGGGCGCTCTGGAGCAGCCAGGGGAAGAGAAGAGCTGTCACAACAGCTTTACATCCCACTGCAAGACCCAGATGAGTTGTCCCAGTCAGAGGGCAACTGATCCTCCTGAAAATTTCATTTAGACAGGAACTGAAAAGGAAGATGCCACCCCCGTCAGGAGCTTGTTACAGAGTCATTAGCTGCTGATCCTTAATTTGTTTAACTGGCCCTCAGCACAGCATGGGCAAAGCCCAGCTCTACAGAATTCCACAGATGAGCTCTCCAGACCCTTTGTGCATGTGGGATTGTCCCACACAATCTGATGGCAAGAGGAAGCCCTGCCAACACATGGTCAGCCCTGATAAGAGGAAACATCACTCGTGCTGCTCAACAGCTGTTTTCTCTGCACAGGCTGCCCTGTAAATGCAAGGAAACAGGGATAGCCCTGCCCGGGGTTAGCAGAGGGAGGCACGGGAGGCTGGGATCAGCACTTGGTAGCCTGCCACCCTTACAGCTTTTAACAAGCAGCGCCTGGAGGCCCCAGATGAGATCAGGGCCCGTTTCAGTTGGAGGTACACATGCTGTTCCAGCAGGCCCTGCCCTGCAGCAACGCACAGGGCAGACAAGAGCATCCAGGGAAGAACGGCAGTTCCAGGCTCGTGGAGACTCCCTGCCCCAAGGGCCCCCAGGACCTCTCCAGCAGCACGTGTGGCAGTCTTCTGTGTCCGTGTTCAGATGCCCAACTGCGCACTTTGCAAAATTTAGAGTAATTTCCGTGCTTCTCCTCCTTCCTCCAGTAATCACGGAGGAACGAGCACGGCAGCAGTGACAGTTCCCACACGCAGAAGCTCAGTGCAGAGGTGAAAGGGTGCTTGCCTGGGTCCTGGCCGCAGAAAGGACAAGTTCAGATCTCTGAACAGCAGGTTGGTCTGAGGTGTCTCATTTAGCCATATCATTAGGTTTTACCACCTCTGACTCATTAATTGTACAAACGAGCTGCTAAGCCTCACTGAGCTAACAAGCTCTCACTCCCCAAGACTTTGCAACCGCATGGCCTGTGCCCAGCACCTCTGCTGGCCCACCAACCAGCTCATCAGACCCTCTACTGCCTCAGCATGTGCAAGAGGGCTAGGAAGTACTCTGACTTCCCATCTCCACAGGCTTCTCAGCACCATCACAGAGGAAAAAAACTGGTCTGGCTTGTTGCACTGCTTAGGAAGCAGCTAAGGACTACCATTTGGGGCAGGTAGCTGGACACCACTCAGCCTTGCACTGGTTATAGCTGCCAAGTGGAAAAGAAAGGGACAGGCCATGTGGCAGGCAGCATTTCTGAACAAACAGTTAGGAAGCAACTCTTCATCCTAATAAGGAGGACTGCTCACCCTTCTTCTTGCATGGGTACCACATGGCGCTCTCCAAGCACATTTGCTCAGAGAAGGTGCCAAGTTCCTGTGACTATCAGCCAAATCTTTCCATCTGGACACAAGTAAGTAACAGGAGAGTCATCCAGGAGACGCCTTCAGATCCAGTCTGCCACCTGCTTGCCCTTTAACATGCTCCTGGCCACCCACAGAAGATCTGGTTGAAAGCAAACAAATCTCAACCCCCAACTCAGACAGAGAAGAAATAGAGGACAAAGAGGCAGAGAGATTGACAGAAGAAGAAAAAAAATCCCAAAGACCAAACTGGAAACAAAAATAGAAGTAAAGTCAGCATAGGAGAGAAAAAGTGAAAAAGAATGAATGATGAATGGGGGAAAAAAAAAGAGTCAGTTAAAAGAAACACAGCTATGCCTTAAAAAAGAAAATTGGGATAATATCAAACAGAAGGAAAAAGAAAGGGGAGGAAGTGGAGAGATCAGCCTGGTCCTGAGTTAGTTAGGCCCAGCTGAAGGTTACTTCACCAGACTTATTTGAACTTTAGTGTAATTAAATCAGATGCAAATGCTAGTGGTAGTTTCCAAGCCAGACATGAACTAATACACACCAGCCTGCAGGCAAAGAGGGATGTTGGAAGCAACTTCCAAGAATGAGAGTGTCGAGATCCCGAAAGACAAGCGGCTTGACTTGAGCATGCAGGAGGCTAAAACCAAAAGCAAAAGGCCAGGCAACCGTCAGCATTCAGAGGGTGCTCCTGGTTCAAGCACAACTCCACGTCTTCGTGGAGCAGCCTACAGGCATAACCTTCAAATCGCTCTCCTGGCAGCCACCTGGCCATGGGGCTGGCTAGTTGGGGCACTGAACAGCAGCCAGGCAACACCAGCCATCCTCCTCGCTCCAACAAGGAGCAAGAAAACTCCTGTCTCGCTGGACGATTAGGGTAAGCAAAGGAAAATTAAACACACCGTCAACACACTGTCACTGAAAAGCAGCTTTTATAAAACCTTCGATGCACACGGGCTAAGCAACTATCCCCAAATTAAACATCTTTGCAGCTGGGTGGGCGACTGACAAAGCCCAAGTCTAGAGGCAGCAGCACTCTACTAGGTGCCAGCTTGGGTTGTGTCACAGCAGCCAAGTCATCCGCGGCTGGAGAAAACACTGCGAGACCTGTTAAAATGCCAAGCTGAGAAAGGCTACTGAAACTACTGGGAAAACTGTTACACAGCTGGAGTCTTATGCAGATAACATCAGTTTGCTGTTGGGCTTTCTTGGACTGCATCATGCTTTTCAGTCGTTGCAAGTCCTTGGAAAAAAAGTAGTTCTGCAGAGTGTGCTGAGCAGTGCTCCAAGGGACTGAGGAAACGCAGGTAAAGGAGCTGTTCAGGGAAGATCACCAAAAAAAAAATAATCTAAATGCCCAAAGCAGAGAAGAAAAACCTCTGTATCATCACATGAAAAGCCTCTTGGCACTCATCAATGCCAGAAATCTTAGTGTGGCCTGAATGGCTCCGTATAGGTCTGGGTTCCCACCCGTACCCGCAGGGACTCACCTAGTCGCAGCAGGATGGTGGACACCTCGGCCAGCTTACCCCCAGGCACCGGTGTGTTGTACTCAGGTTTGCTCCAGCTGACGCCCGCTCGAACCAGCCTCGAATTTATGTAGTCTCTGCAGAGAGCCTTGGCTTGGGACACGAGCTCCTTGTCAGTGGGAGACCTGTCAAAAACCTCCATCACCTCCGCAGCAAAGACCGAGGAACGGCGGAGCACTTCCATCCTTGGCCGCTGAGCCCACACCTCGGCACACGCTCGCTGGAAGGCCGACCCGACGCCTCAGATGAGAATCTGCAGGAGCTGCGTGGTTTATCCTCTGGTCTCTTGGTTCGTTACAGCCCCCAGCAGCTATTCTCAAAAGGCCAGTGTGTCATTTCACCTGGTGAATAAAAGAACCAGTAAGCCCTCTAGCATTGCAAAGACGTAAAACAGAAGCCCAGGTGCTCGACCTTACAGTTATGCTAAAGTCAGTAGTATCATATTTGCAAAACATCTGTCTCGGTGCATCTCACAGACAAGGGGCAAGGTCTTCTGCCTTTCAGCAGCTCTGACCTTCACTGGCAGCATGACCCACAGAAGGGCTGCAGTTTGGAATTATCAAGGTGTTTGCTCTTTCCCAGTTCAGATCTAGCAGTCCTAGAATTACCCTTCAGAGAGATGAGAGGGTCAGAGTGTGGAAACAATTCATAGAATGCGAAGGACAATCTCAGCTTGTTTCAATTAAACTGGAAAAAAACTGAATCCCAAATACCAGCTACAAGTAACCTCAACCAGATGTCAATAGACATTCCAGCTCAGTAGGTCATGGATCTTTCTGAAGAAATGGCACTCTTGGAAGAACAGCGGTACGGGAGCGTTTGAAATGTCTCGCTGGAGACAGTTTGCCACATTCTCAGTTTAGGTTTTGGTTCTGCCACTCTTTCTCTTTTACTTTTTTTTTTTCCCCAAAGCAAAGTGCATACTACTTCGCAAACCTTTAGCAATAGCAGAGAGAGCAGAACAGAAAAGCAGATTTTTAAAAAGTTTTCAGGTGTGAATGCCTAAAGAGAAAATTCAGATTTTCTTCAGAGGCACCTGAATTCATCTGTTCATCTGACTTCTTAGCCCAGTGCTGCTTTCAAAGCCAGAGTCAGACCAGTCTTTATTCAGATGTTAGTAATAGTGTTTTTCAGTCCCCAGTTTTAGACATCCACTTACAAGAATAATTTTCAAACAAAATAAAGCCAGTTATTTTTCTTTGTCCCAATGAAAAATATATTTACCTCTCATGTTGCACTTTTTCCCCCTCAGTGATTTCTTTCTGGGTTTGGTTTCATGTTTCTTTGGAAGATCTGCATCAATGAACACCTGGTTTAGGATTCATAGGATACTGTCCCACTTCTCTGGAGAGCACCAGCCTTCTCCGCTGTGCCAGTGCCTCCTTCCCCATGTCCCTCAGCCTCGCATCCCAGCGGCACTCCACCGGGATCCTCGGGGCTTGCTCTGCTGCTTTTAAGGGAGCCAGGCAGCAGAGGAGAGCTTCTAGCTTTAGCCTTGTAAGGAAGATGAAATAACCAGGAGGTGGGGTTGCTAGAGCCAGAGAGCAACGCTTTCTCCTCCCCTTTCTTCTCCCTTAAGGAGGTTCTCCGTTGTTCTACTGCGAGAGCCCAGGGGCTCCGTTCAAGGACTCATATCCAGGGTGAGGGCAGGAGAATAATTTCTGGATCCTCTAAGAGGAAGCGATGAATGCATTGCTGACATAGATGGTGAATTCCCACGGCGGCTCGTGCAGAGTTGGTGTTGGCCAGTCATTTTCAGACCGCAGCCGAGTTGGAGAACCGCAGGACATCATACTTCAGCGGTGGGCTAGTTGTGCCAGTTCAATCTGAAACGATGGAGTGATTAACAGAGAGCTACAGCTCGGGGCTAACACAAGCAGTGCTTGTATTCCCCCAAACGACGAGTAGTCTGATTAAAAAAAAAAAAAATTTCAGAGGGTTTGCTGCTAGGAAATAGTTTGTGCAGAACGTGTCCATTTCATCTCCATGTGTTAAGAAAACTAACATACAAAGTTTAAGGAAAATATTTCATTTAGTTCCAGTGTACGTAGAAATTAATTTCAACATCAACTTCTTGTTGCAACATTATCGTATCGATGCCACAACGCTCAACTTTTCTCCCATGCATGTGTGATACCGTTTCAACCCAACAGACCACATGCAAACGCTGCCTTTTTATGTTATGATTTGAAACAAAAGAAGTTTCAGAATTAGAAGTTTCCTGCAGACAAGAAATTCTACCAGCCCGGACACAAATTCTCCCCAACAAACAACAATTTGTAGATTAATGTCTGGGTACGTGGCATGTTGGAAACACAGCCTTTCCAAGAGGAGGTCAGAAGCAAGAGGTTGCCACCTCACCCCTGTCACCTTTGAGAACAGACAGAAGCAAGTACACCTCTCCAAGGTGTTGATCACAACCTGCACCACTGCCGGTCTCGGATAAAAAAAGGAACAAATTAACGGCGTGAAAAAAACCCTTATTATAGGATGTATGAAATACTCTGGCCAGCATCCAACACACAACTCGCGCACAGGCTTAACGCAGAGCATATGTTTCAGTCTGCCATTAACTGGATTGCTGGAGAATGCTTTGCTGTGTTGGGATGGGGGCTGCAGTACAGCCTGCTCTCCCTCCGGCGACAGATCCTCCGAGCTGGCTTCTGGGAAAGGAGCAGGGTTACGGAGAGCTTCGTGGATGCAGCAGTAGCCAGCTGGGGACCCCTGGCCTAGCTTGATATGATCATGTCAGGATGGCAATAGTGATTGTGCATCTCCAGCACCAGAAGTATTTGCTCAAAGCTTCTCTCAGAAATTTGTTTTTGTCCACTAACCTTCCCCAAATTTAAATATAGTCGCTCTAGACAGGCCCGTCCCTGAATCAAGACTCCAGAAATCCTGTGCTCCTGCTCGTCCCTAACCCACGCCTTCTCTGCAGAGTGCTCCTGACGGTCTCTTGGAAAAGCAGATTTTTGCCTTTGCAGCTCCGAGGGCTGAAAAAACATTTAAAATGATGTTTTAGCTTCCTGCAGCAGCTGACAGCTTGAAACAGCAGCCCTATTTAAGCTGTGCCTATTCAGTGGAGCTCTGAAACAAAGATGAACGCCTGAATATCAGTACTGCTTAACTAACGATAATGCTCCCCAGAATTCTGGCAAACACACAAGTGCCACGGTGCCTCCCAGCTCTCAGCGGGTGCCAAACCCATCCCACGTGTTCCCTGCCCGAATGTCACAGTGTGCAGCACCCCCTCAACTTCCACCCTGCAGTAAAGACACAAAAACTGGAAACACGAAGGCTGCATAAACCAAGCTTTGTATTAAAAAACCCCCACCCACCACCAGCGCATGGTGTTCTACCTCTATTATTTACGCACTAAAAATACAATTTCACACTGAAAGATACCTCTGTAAGTAAAAATAGATGAAACCACAGGACACAGTGCTCAGCTGACTGCAAAAGAACAGGGTGTTAAAATCCAAGGAGCTACCGGTGTAACCTGAGGCCCTTTTTCCATAGTATCTTTAGGCTACAACACTCCGAGGTTAGATCTGGAGTTTATAAAGATTCAGTTAGATCTGAAGTTAGATCTTCCAGATTTATGCTGGAAAAACCCTTGTGGCAAAGGAGCATCAGGAAACAGTGCAGAAACAGCTGGCTGCCCCCAAAACCACTGGTCCCCATGTAGCTGATACTGGCATGACAACATTCTGGACGGAACAACTGGATCCACACCACAGCTCCTGCTAGTCTCCGATGGGGTGACCAAAAATGCTTGGAGCATTCATTTGGCAGAACCAGGGGACCACAGAGACACGACTGCATTTTGTAAGTGCATCAAGTGGAAGCAAAGCCTAGAGAAACCACATCAGCGACAACACATCAGAGTCTAAACGTGGACAGCTTGTGCTCCATAGTGAGTAGTTTAACCATTAGAGAAGTCAGTCTCTGGAAGGGCCTTTTGACAGTAGCAGTGGGAGCAAAATAGCTAATTGTGAGCACACTAAGCTTATGAAAGGGTCTGCACGATACGGTTTCCTGCGATAGCACGAGGATAACCCCGAGTCCCCTAGGAGGTCCTTCCCAGCCTTGTGTCCAGCCAACACAGCCTGGTTTCTATCAGAGGTATTGTTCTGTTTCGCCTCGGAGTGCCAATCCCAGCCACTCCGCACAGCCTGCAACAATTCCAGCAGAAACTACACACTGTAAGACTTAAAAACACCTGCAGAGGAAGGACTTAGAGAAGCAGAGGGATGCCAAGACGCACAGTTAATAGCCAGGGAGCCTGGGAACCAACCCCGCTAGCCCCTGCCTGCCACAGGAGGTTCCCTTTCAGAGAGAAGATGCTCTGGCAAAACACTGGCACTGTAACCAGTCCAAAGCCTTCTACCAAACCATCCTTGAACCTTTGTCTGCATTATCTCCTGCAGTTTTAACATACTGTCATCCCCCCACTGCCTCTTCCAGTCTGATTTTTGCAGCAGTACTGCAGTTCTATGTTTGTGAAGTTATCACTCCCCATTGCAAAGACACCTACAGCGTCAGGCTTTAGGTGGCAAAGCCATACAGAGGGAACAGGGAGGCTAGAAGAAACACTTCTTTTTGTACGGAAATATTTTGCCAGCTGCAACAGAAAAACAATACATGGAAGCAGCAGCTTAACGAGACCCAAGCAAAACACTGAGGCTTTTTGAACCCTTCTTTTGTTTCTGAAGGGCTTGATTCAAAGCCTCCTGAAAGCCAAGCAGTTATTTGTATTACTTGCGTGATGAGATCGGCCTGGAGCACCTTTCCTGGACGGGGATTTTGCAGTGCCAGGTGTCACGTGCAAGACCAAAGAGGATGTGTCACAGTGAACTTGTCTTCCACAGCCTTTAGACGGTTCTCCTTCACGGGGATACGAGCCCAGTGACTTAAACACATCAAGTTTAGCAACCAATCCCCTACTTAGGCTTCTGACACAGATTAGCACAGATACCCAACGTTTTCTTCTCTCAACCCACTGCCATGCCCAGCACCACTGTGGACCCAACTTCCTTGTTACACGTACGTTTTGACAAAGGCAGAACAAAGACACGGTGCAGTCCAGAACTGACTGACAAACACAGCAAAGGGGCACCTGCAGCATGAATTTAATGTCAGCAAGTGGTGTTATGCATTGAATCATAGAACATCTCTACCTGTATTCCTGAATCTTATTCTGGAAATGATGCCCGAGAAGAGTTTAACCAATCATTGCTACTCAGGTACCAAGCCAGCAGCTGCCCACTGTAAACCAGCAGCTTCTAGCTAAATCTAGGACTTTGATGAGGCTGCATCATCAGCTTAGGAACCTAATTGAATGGATACAACTGTTTTAGTTGTTTCCCATCCTCTAATTTGCTTCAAAGTGACACATTTTACTGAACCGATCATCTCATAAGCCAAGAAGGCGGCAGACACAAAGAAGAAATAAGTTTTAAGTTTTTCCACACCTATAGCTTTGTTTTGAAACACAAATAAAATATTTACATACCGCACCACCAAAACAGAAAAGGCAGAAAACACCTAACAAGGTCACTGTCCCCAAGAGAGGAAAGAGGCTTTTCCCTTTCAAACTCTAACCCACGACGGCAGAGGATGAGCCTTTGTCTCATTCTAGCAACTGATCACCAACAAGGTTTAGGAATTACTTCCACGCAGGACATGTGCACGTGGGCAGGCAAGTGCCTCTGCCTGCAACGATCCTGCAAGCTCAAGAGCCTGAAGTGGGTGCAGGCACTTGTGCACTGGCTCAGCAGCATTTCCGAGCTCTGACGCGTTCATCTGCTGCTTGGAGACGCGTGCTGGGGCACAGACATGTCCTACATAGGCAAGTGGATTGCTGGAGCTGATAACCACAGGCAGCACTCTATACCCTGCACACATCTTTGGGTCCTACACAGGCTCCAGAGGATTTAGACTCGAATTTTGCATATCCAGAATGTAGCCTTACTTTTAATTAAACCCTTACTGACTTTCAGAAAGGCTCTTCAGGCTTTTTAGTCTTAGCCTCTAGTGCTGGGCAGGGCAGCAACTACACTATTTTTTTAAAAAAAAAAACAACAAACAAAACAACAAAAACGTGTCTTTTCAAGTTGTCAGACAAGGAGGGTAGGCTGATGTCTCCAGTCTGCACAGATCAAATTTGGAGTGCACAATTCCTTCATATACAGTTGATTATGCCATGCAGCATTCCAGTCATTAGGATGCGGTTCCACCCTGAGTGCCAGCAAAGCGTTTCTACTCATTCGATACATCCCAAGAGTTTGTGGAACTCCATGTTGACAAAAAAAACGTCTCCAAGACTGCTTTGGTTAACAA